TTGTCTTATTAGCAACTAGCTGCGAATAAACAACAAATTAATCAGCTTTTCGTAAAACTTGCAAATTATTAAAGGTTTTGCGTTCTTGTACTTTTGTGCTATGAGAGCGAATTCTCAGAAATTCAGTTACTGGAGAGTTACTGGCAAGTTACTGGATAATTTGTAAAAGAACACAACTATTTTCATTTCAAAGTTTCTGCAAGTAAATATGTATGTATGTTTGTAAATAAATAGTAAAATTACTCTAAAGTGCCTACCAGCTACTGACTGCTCGTTAAAAATGTGGAATTCCCGCTGGCAGATGAAGTGGTAAAGCAGCTTTTAAACTTGAAGTGTGTCTTATGTTGCACCCACGCACACTAAATGCCAGCGGCATTTGATGGCATTCCAATGCTAATGTTGATTGACGATATTTTGCGTGGCAATTTTCGTACACATTTGCCAGCAAAACGCTGCTGTTGCATGCTTTCTTTTACCCTCGACATTGATACAGTCAATTTGTGAGCAATTTTCGCCCTGCAGACGAATTATTTTACCAATGCCCTTCTGTCTTTCCTTATTCCTTCTTTTAATTCTTTTCCCACCATCCTATTTTCATTTGTAGCAATCACATATGTAAGTTCTATAATTAACTCAACTTCTTAGCAAGTTCTTCCAGCTTTATTTTTTTCTTGTAGGTACTTTGCACGTTGAAAGCCACACGAGTAGCAGCAACTGCCTACAAGTAGTGAATATATGAGTATGCATGTAAGACTGCAACCAGTTGAGCAGCAAAACCACATTTTCTCACGTCATCTGCCGAGACAGAAGTTGGGTGGAGTGCAGCAGCAGCATCTACGGAATCACAGCACAAATAATTTAATTAAAATAAAGAAATTAAAGACACATACATATTTATGTACATAAGTATGTACATACATATGTACGCTTGCTTTTTTGTTAGTTTATAATTTCATTTGGCAGATGCTGTCTACTGCTTGTTACCCAGACACCAACCCGACGAGTGAGCACACAAACCGGCCTAGCTTCACGATCAGTTTGGCTCGTCTTTGACTTCACTCGCTTACATTGTAACTTTGCAATATACATATGTACACCTCTACTTATCCAAGTACATATGAGTCTCGTCGTCATGTGTACGGACGCGCGTTTGTGCTGGTAATATGAGATCAGCAACCAGTCAACGAGTCAGACCCATACCCATCAGCTTCATTGCAGTCGGTAGCCCAGGCAGCCGCGTCATCACACCAATATCTACACAATATACTCCACTCCACTACTTGTTTGCTCATCGCAAAATGTGAATTTGTTCGTCTTCCATTTAACAAATTGCATGCATAAAAAGTGATTTAATAATTTCACGAAATTCTCTATTTAAACGGTTGCCCGCCGCTTTTTATTGTTTGCTATTCCTATTTTTTTTGTTTAAAGCACTCAAGCAATAACGAGCAATGAATGGAAAATTGCAACAATAAAATATGTAAAATTTACTACAGAGATGATCATAGGAACAAAAATAGCTTCAACAATGAGTTTTGCAATAACAATAACAAACTTCAAGCGCAAGGACTTCATTTACAATTGCCTCATTCATCCGCCATTACGATTTCTAGTTTCCGGTGTGTGGTTTTTTGAATTCTCTGCATCTTTCACAATTTTATTATTTACATGTATTTAGCAGAATTTCATTGACCTATAGCCGTTGAAGGAGCCCACCGGTGCCTACAAATTGTTTCGTAGTTCAGCGCCTTTGACATGGTTGAGTTAACATGTCTCTCAACTAAAACGTTTGTTGTTGTAACAGCATATAAATTCCCCAGAGCTTTTGGGGCGTGAAGCTGGAGTTAAAGTCCTCCTTGGTCAGACATAAATCGGGTAGTGATGGGGTGACAATTGTACGGGCTTGCTTTTATAAAATTTTATTGCATAAATGCAGCATTTGTTAAGTAGCTAATTACAAACATTAGTATGGATGATGATGCGATCAGCTGGCGGAAAATTAAGATTATCAATTAAATACACAGCGGCCGCTGTGATGTAGTGGCAAGCAGTGCGCCGTACCATTCCGCAGGGTCTGGGTACGAACCCAGTTTCTGACTAACATAAAAAAAATAAAATTCGAATACTTAGCGCTCGCCCCTCTGTAAGCAATGGCAAACATCCGAGTGTTTAGTGCCATGAAAACAGCTTCTCATAAAAATACGCTCGCCGTTCAGAGTCGGAGTAAAACGGAAGGTTCATCCCCTTTGTGTGACAACATCAGGGCGCACACCACAAATCGGAGGAGAAGCTCGGCCAAACACTTACACATTGTGTAAGCGCCAATCTATTATTATTATTATTATTGATTAAGGACCGTTTTCTCATGTAGGTTTTAAAATTTAGCCGCCCTTTAAACACAAATTATGTTCTGAAAAAATGAGTTTAAAAATCAGATAAATTTTAAACCCTAAATGAGAAAATGGCACTATATACACAAGGATCGTAAGGGCCCCTAAAAATGTAGATACAAAAATTATTCTTTAATCGGGGCAATGCGATATTTGCCTTACTACCTTTGATAAAAGTTCAGTTAATAGCCGAATGCTTTTTATAATTCGCGTTTGAATTTATAATTTTCTTGCTGATTCATCTGGCTATGGTAGGGAAACATGGCTAGAAAGCTCACTCGAGCACACCTGTTGTCCCTTTTGTACACATATAAATTGATAACCAGTTTCCAGCTGCCGATACACAGCCTACAGGAATTCCTAAAGTGATCATGATCCGCAATTTCACCCAATTTCATATTCTTAAACACAAATAAATATCAATGTAAGTGTATACATTTTTAATAAGATAAAATTCTTTAAACTTCAACTCACTTTGTCCAGGCACTTAAGCTCCTCGATGGGATACACCACTTTCTGGCAACGTGCACAAGTTTTATTCATTTTGCGACGTTCCTGCTCGTATTTAGTAGCTGCTATTTTTTTCACTTGATCGTCAATTTACTTTGCCTGTTGATGCCGTAGATCACGCGTG